AGGAAGGATTTCCTAAGGATAAAAATTTTTTGTCAGGAAGAGGTAGGTTGGTGGATCTGTGACGTGCTAACAAGATTCTGATTTTGACTTCTCTTTTCCTTGTTAACCTTTGCAACTCTTTCCTTGGTCTTCTCTATTCTTTTGTTCGTTTAGTTTATAATCATATTGCTTTTCTCCAGAAATGCATTACTTATTTTTCCTTGACATATAATTTTCACCTATCTTACTTTCATTTCTTCCTTCCCTCCTTTTTACTTTGCCTTAATAAGTCACAAATGAAACAGTTGTTTTATGATGAAGCAACAGTTTTATTGAAAGAGATGAAATATAGTTAATTAAAATATTAACCAGATCCCAAAAGTATTTATTTTCAAGAGTATGTTTAAATTTTGATCTCTGAGGTGATACACTGCAATATTTTCAGATTGTTTTTAATAACTATTTTGTTAAATATATTCTATTCTGTTAAATATATTCTAGCTGACAGGCTGAATAGAAAGTTGAAATGTTTTTGACCCTCTTTTGAAATCACAATGAAATACTTATAAAATGTTTTCTTCAGGGTAGAAAAATTACTAGTTATAAAATTTTTTGTTTTGCAACATTTTATTTTTCAAAGGAGATTTTTAAAAATCTCCTCCAAATCATAACTATAAGAAACAATCTACAGTTGTACCAATATATATTGAGTGGTATTGGTTAAAAGATAAACAATTTCTAAGAAAAAAGTTTTATTTCCTCTCATTGATACCCATACTTAAGAAAACAGTAGCATAGGGGCACCTGGGTGGCTCAGTGGGTTAAGCCTCTGCCTTCGGCTCAGGTCGTGATCCCAGGGTTCTGTAATCGAGCCCCGCATAGGGAGGGCTCTCTGCTCAGCAGGGAGCCTGCTTCCCCCTCTCTCTCTGCCTGCTGCTCTGCCTACTTGTGATCTCTGTCTGTTGAATAAATAAATAAAATCTTAAAAAAAAAAAAAAAAGAAAAGAAAACAGTAGCATAGGGGCGCCTGGGTGGCTCAGTGGGTTAAAGCCTCTGCCTTCTGCTCAGGTCGTGATCCCAGGGTTCTGTAATCGAGCCCCGCATAGGGAGGGCTCTCTGCTCAGCAGAGAGCCTGCTTCCCCCTCTCTCTCTGCCTGCCTCTCTGCCTACTTGTGATCACTGTCAAATAAATAAATAAAATCTTTAAAAAAAAGAAAACAGTAGCATAATAAAATAGGGTTAGAAATATTTGTCTGCCAGGGCAGTTCTGAATATAAATTATAGGTAATTCTAAAAATAAAGTAATTCAGTTACTAAGGCAAAAAAAGCAAGGAAAAATGTTTGCTTAATCTGTGCCATTTTAATTCAAATTAATATAAAATACATCATGAGAGAAAGAGGAAATCTACCTTAGCCATTCCATAAATGAGAGCCTAAAGTTTAATGAAAAGACCTGAGAGAGAATTTAATAGTACTGAGCATTTTTTATTGATATGTCTCTAGAAAGCCCCTGAACCTGTCTAGACCTAAGTTCAAATACAGAAAATATACCGTCTCTTCTCAGATTTTTTTCACAAATCTGTAATAACTAAAGAATAGTGTGAATACATACATCCAGTGATGTAGACACCTAACTTAATGTGGCTTTTACAAGCCTAAAATTTCTTTCAACTTTTATATTTTATTTTGAAAATTAATATAAAGTTGGCTTTCTACTCCAAAATCTACATTTCCTTTAATACAGATAAAACATTTACAACTATTTATTGGCAGGGGAAGTGAGGGTGAGATGGAATAATTTTCTTTTTTTTTTCTTTTTTTTTTTTTTTTGAGATGGGATAATTTTCTACCTTGTTAACAGTGGAAATGATTTTATAGTGAGTTTGGATTTGGAGAATTGTTCTAAATCAAAAGTAATGAACAACCCGTATTGTATTAGCATCCAGGCAGTTTCTTTTGTTGCAGGATATTTCTAGAATTCAAGCTCTTATAAAAAAGGTAAATAAATATAGCAGAGTCATTTCACTGCTTTATACACATCCTGGTAATTAATCCTTGAGGATAGATTCCTCTGTAATTAATCTCTGACAAAAGATTTCCAGGAGGCTGCAAAAGAGGTGATACATTGCAATATTATCAGATTATTTCTAATAGATATTTTGTTAAATATATTATAGCTGACAGGCTGAATAAAAATTGAAATTTTTGACCCTCTGACTTATGCCTTTTGAAATCACAATGAAATACCTATAAAATGTTTTCTTCAGAGTAGAAAAACATTAATGATAACATTTTTTGTTTTTGTAACATTTTAATTTTCAAACTTCATAAACTAATAATCTCAACCAGTCATAACCCCTACAATTCTTTACATCCAATTCTCAAACTTCATTTATATTGCAATAATCCTATATGTGATAAAGGCATCTCTTAATTACTGATGCAAAATGTTTAACCTCATAGACAAATATGGATAAAATTAGCTAATGATGTAGGATATAATAATTATCATGAAGAGTAAAGTAATTTATCTAATCCAAATGCTAATCTTTTGTGATTACTTTTAACTTCTTATCAAAGAAAAATAATCAGGCATTTGGGTTAGCTATGAATTTCTTTTATTTATACTACTCCATAATTGATGATTAAGGGTTGACTAGAATAAATGAGAGTATTAAACTAAAATCTACTGAAGTTACTTTTCTCTAGTTTTCATATTTAATTTATGAGACAAATCTTTTTTGAATTCTTTCTGAAGATTTTCCAGTATTAGCTATTATACCTGGTTCAGGGACCACAAAAAAATCATGTAACAGTTGAATTACAGCCACTTCCGGCTTTGATAACAACCACATGGTTTTCTAAAGTTGTTTCTTATGACAGTTTCAAATTTACAAAGTCAGATTTATATACAGAAAATTGATGTCAAGCATTGGACAGATGAGCTTTCTGTTCCCAACATCTTTTTTTAAGTTGGTATTATTTTAAAAAATAATAAAAATAAAAATAAATTGGTATTATAGTCTATTTTTCACGTTTAGAGTTAATGGGTGACTCTTACAACTCATTAAGTTTCTGTATTTGCACTTGCATTTGGAACTGAAATGGTTCAGGGAAAAAATTTTCCCATAAATAAATACAATAACATTAAATATCTTACACCGATGGAGAGACAGATAAACACACAAGACAGAGACACATATACATATACATCTTATAAGCATCAATTTTTTTCCAGCCCATTTATTTCCAGGCCTATAGAGGGAAGTCAGGAACTGTGGATGTTTTTCCTAGATTTGTCATTAACAAATAACCTTGAAGAAGATACCTCATGTTGCTGGAATTTGTGTAATTTTAACTCTTCTGGAAATAAAAGACAATGTAGAAAATGGTGTTCACTTGTTAACAATTCTGAAAATCTTCAGTTTCTAGAAGTTCTCAGAAAGGAGCATGAGGCATTAGACTATATTTTTAATAGGAAATTACCTACTTTATCTTTATAATCAGGATATTGTGAGTCTCCACTTAAAATGGGAAATTGTTTTGATATAAAGATGTTTTCTAAGATCAAAGAAAATAGCACAAGAGAAAGAGTAGATATTATAAGTTCACTGCCCATTCAGAAGCCCTTTCTTATAGTGTTGCTATTCTAATTAGTATTAGACTAAGAAGTATTGACTAAGAAGAATAAGAATTGATGATTATCTCTTGGGTATAACATTTAGCTAGTGCTGAAGAATTAATAAAAACTTTATCAAGTAAAACCAAAAGTTGACATAATTCTTATATTCCAAGATGCTTTTTTTATTTTTTTCAAAATAAAAATTCAGTTTTCTTAGTATTATTCCTAAGCAATCTCCATATGCTATCAGAGAGATCCTAAAAGGGATAAGACAATCTATACCCTGTCTCTAGGAAATGTAATTTTGTAGCATGGTCAGGTTTCTTATTTTTCCTGAGGATTTTAACACTTGGAACCTGGCATCACATTATCACATTGATGCTTCCTCTACTGTCTTAAAACAAACAAACAAAAAAAAAAAAAAAAAAAAAAAAAAAAACCAGGACCATCACAGGTAACTTGACCTATGTTGGTCTGAATGGAAACCATCATTTTTCATATGTAGGACCCATGGCATAAAAGTGCTTAGTCTGAAGCTTCCTCACCCTTCTTCCCTACCTTTTTTGTTTGTCTTCCTCTCTAACCAAGTATTAGTTCTTATTATAGCTCTGTGAAAAAGCAAAAAAAAGAAAAATATTCTAATTTGTATCTCATCTAATAAAACACTTTGTGTTGAGAATCTTCCGTTTCTCTTTTATATAGTGATGTGAAACCAGTTTTTAAAATAGTTGTTCCACTATTAGTTTCCCCTATCTTACCCAAGAGGAAAATTCAACTGAAATAAAAGAAAGTTTTGAGGGAGTGAATGTATTTAACATTGGTCTGGCATTAAAATTTTCTGGTTGGGCAGCACGATTGTTTAATTGGGAATCTCAGTGACAGCTGAACAACCTCAGTGCTTGGATCAACAAGCAGAGGAGCTTCACTCTGTCACCTTTCAAGAATGATGCTTGTTAGAACTGATCTTTCCTCTAAGAGAACACTCATGTTTTAGTCATACCATTGATGTTTTCTGATATTACAACAGAATAGACACTATAACACTTTAAGAGACAATGTTCTCTGCATAGGTTTATTTGTAATTCTTTGTTCTTCGTAAACCAAATGCAAATGTAACACTACTCCAGATACTGCTACATCAGAAGTCCCCAAGATAACCAAAAGTAAGTCCCCATTTCCTAATCTCAGGAATAATGCTATAATAAAGACAATTCTAGTGACCAGCCTATTTGCAGAGCATGTCATATAGCCTCTGGGTTAGTTAACTCCTTGGCTTCCTAAGAGATTCCTCAAAGAGTCAAATGATGTTTTTGCATGTTTTACTTACTAATGTGTAGAAAAATTTTTAAGTTCACTTTTTCTTTATTCTGTCTTTTTTACCCATCTTCCCTCATTGTAGCAAATTAGACGGCCGGATGAAAGCAAAGGAGTTGCTAGTAGAGTTGGATCCCTCAAAGTAAATATGTTTCTAACATTTTTTGGCAAGATTTTGTCTATAGCCTACACTTCCTTTTTGGAGGGTGGTGGGAGGAAGGGGGCTTTTTCCATTTTTCACCATCCCATTTTTTTTATTTTAATATTTTTATTGGCTGTTGGGTCATATTTTTTTGTTGTTGTTTGTTTCAGCTACACATAGAGCAACCAGCTGAAGGCAAGATGCCAAATAACTAGCTTTGAATGGCACCACAAACAAGAGAAAGGGCAATTGTCTCATTACAGGTGCCTATAATTTGGGGTTCTAGAGTAAACCGTTCCTCTGATTGATGTCACTGACTATGTGTTAAGTTCCTGTTACACAGAGAACTAATATTTATTTTCAGAATATTATCTCCCCTTTTTGATTTTTTTATAAAAAGTAACTAAATGTTATGTTAGTGTCATTACCATTTGTAGTTCACTCCAGAAAAAATAATTACTATGAGTTAGTAATATGTATTTTATATACATATATACACATGTAGATGTGTGTGTATACATATATAAAATCTTAAGAATTAGAAAAAGAATTTTATATGTTGCTGGTATAATGGGCTCACATATAGCTAATAGTATTTGAACACTTTTAATCTCCTTTGATTTGTTTTTTTTTTTAAGTTAAAAAATTGATATAACAATCAATGGAAATCAACATATATCAAAATGTTTGCCCATTTGTGTATGTCATCTACTAATACACAACTTAAGGATTTCTGATATGATGGTCCCATTTGCTAGTTGTTAAATATCTATTTGGTCAATATATCTTGGGCACTCAATACTCTAACATTCAATGACAATGAAAAGGTAAGCCAGTCATCACCCTTTAGAAACAGAGATATAGCCATTGATCACTTTTAATGCTGCCACCATAAATGCAAGTTAGAAAATTTGCTGAATTTTAAAAATATGCAGAAGAATTTCCCCCCAAATTAACTACTACTTATATCTCAATCCCATTTATCCTAACAGCAATAGTAACTGTTAATCAAAATGACAGTTTACTGCATTGGAATATCCCAAAATTCATTAACTACCTTGAGAGCTATTATTAAGTCAATTCAAAATTTTATACACCTCCTATTTATTTCCATTTAACAATTTATGAAGCACTAATTTTTGCACTCCTTCCTCTCCTTGCCTCTTCTGCCTTCTTAATTTTACTTTTTTGTTGTTGTTTATTTATTTGTGTGTGTGCACGCACATGAGTGCACATGGATGAAGGTGTGTCTGTATGTTTGTGTCCTTTATTCCAGACAAGCCATCTTCTCTGTTCTCTAACACTGCTGTATACTGGGTAGCATTTTTGTTTTGTTTTGTTTTTAATGTTTTTTCACTAAGAATAATGAGAGGGGATGGGAAGTGTTGATTATATGCCTCTTTCAAAATCAAGGCAAGTTAAAATGATTCAGTCAGAAAAATATAAGTTTATGTATCCCAGTGACATATCAGTAGCATTCCTCACTGTCTACTTGTGAGGTATCATATTTTACCTTTGTCTTTAAGGGAACATAAGTCCATTATTGTTTAGAGTATGGATTATGAGCCAGATTCAAATGAAAAAGTGAAGTGTGAGATAACTTTTTAGAAATTATTGATAGTGAAATAAATAAAATGGCATCCATAAGTGCAGCACCATCTGCTATAAACGATTGTGTGTGCAAGTGCGCATGTGTTTAATTATCTTTAAGTTCAGCTTTTGGCTGTATAGAGCTTTAACTTAAAATTGTATGTTTATTATTTTTAAGTATATATATATACGCATATATATATATATATATATATATATACACACATGTATATGTATAAGATCAAAGAAACATGTTAGGGTTCAATCAGTTTAATATGGTTTCAGCTTTAAATCAAAAAGTGTGTTTGGGTAAAGCAAATCTCTTAATTTCTAAATATTTTTACTCCATAATGTACCAAATAGAAAATTTTAAAGTGAATCTCTAGGAGATTATAAAGATAGTTATAGTATTTATTTTGTCCAACATTTTGGGGAGAAAATATATTATAATTAAAATAAAAGTTGGCTTCCTAGTCACAGGTTTATTGAGCATGTATTCTTGTGTTACACAAAGATCTTTGATGTTTTGAAATGTTTGCCAAAGGCAGTGAGAAATGTATAATGCTATGATCTTATTTTTAAAAGGAAAAAAGAAAATGGAAAAGAGAACAAGTTGCTTTTTCAATTCATTTTCTGATGTTTACATGTAGCTCCATCGAAAGCTGGAGGAGCTCAGAGATCACCTAGAAGGCAATGTGAAAGGATACTCTCTCAGAGTAAATGTACGATTTCACTCGGTGATTTTTTTTTTTTCCTTAACTTCTGCTGACTGGTAATTCCAAATCTGATTGGTTTGTCCTCTCATCTCCATCTTTTTTACTTTCTGTCTCTTTTCTCTCTATCTCTTTCTTTCCTAGCTGTAGCTTCATGCTCACATTTATGAAATAAAGATTAAATTGGCAGGAAAGAGGACACTTAAGCCACACTAGCATTGCAGTTGATTTAATAACTTTATGGCTCCAGTGCAAAATAAAAATTTTCTTTTCAAAATCTGTGTTTCTTACACAATTGTTTAATTTTCTGAGAATGTTTTCATGAGACTTCACTTGGAGCTTTTCCATTGACCATGTCTTCTGTCCCTTGTTGGATTTGTCAGCAAGACTATAAATTATTGGCTGGATCCAAGTGATAGAGCCTTGATGATTCAATTCCATTTGTCAAGGAAAATGATCAATGTTAGAGTTTCATCATAGATAATCTAGCAAACAGACACATTTTTCTAAGTTAATAGACTTCTCTTAACTCAAACTCTTTGGGAATAGCTAAAAGATTCTTTTGTTTAAAAAAATTAGGCAGTAAGCATCTTCTATGTCATACAACATCATATAAATACTTGAGATAAAGGCTAATTTACCCAAGACAACACTTTGAAGGAGAACAATACCTTATAGCTACTCAATACTGTACATGTGTCAGATAGGCAATACTAACAATCATATTTTTTGTGACCTATAGAGCTCAGACTCAAAATGCTTCGTCCTTCTCCAGAATATATCTTTTCAAGAGAAATGGAAATAAAATCTCTAAAATGGTATATGGTATAAATATTGCAGAAGAAAAGCAAAATTATTACAGTAAATAATTTCTCACTCTGTTTAGCTCTGACATCCCATTCTTGGGGCTTTTTAAAAGTTTCTATCAATCCTAGCCTGGATTTACTTCTCTCAAGATTATTGCCATACCTTTAATTCATATTGCTATAATAGTTTTGTTATAAAGAGTAGAATAAACAGTAATAGTAATACAATAATTATCTGGCTTCTCAGCTTGTTTTTAATTATGTACCATACATAGTTATTTATATCTCCATATAAACTTCTGATTACTCAAGTCCAAAGTTGTTTTTATAGTTTTAATCATTAAATTCTGATTGCAGTTAATGCAAGTGTCTTGCTTTTCTGTTTTCTTGTGACACAGTCCTTCTTTTCTATGAATATTCTTACAGAATTTGAAAGATCAACCATAATCACTTCCAGAATTATTCCACTATCTTAAAAAGAAGATTAGTATGAATTTTATGATTAAATCAGTCTAAACATACCTGAATATTATTCTAGAAAGCCCTAAAGAGATTCTGACAATATTAGTAAATGTATTTTGTGTCATACTCTCTGTAACCAACCATGAGAAGTGATGGTGGTTTTTTTTTCCCTATCAAACCAAAACTAGAAAGTTAAGACTTCTTAAGATCTATATGGAAGGGATTTATGTTATATTAGGATTAAAAGTTTTGTGCTTCAAAGATTAAGTTATATACATGCCACTTTTTAATTTCTTTTTTTAACACCTGTACTGCATGGTACAATATGTAATAAGTAGTAAGCCCAATGTCTTCATCTTTTGTTTCATTTTGCTGGGTCACACTTTGTTCTGATTATCTTTTTTCCTAAAAAGATTGAATATTAGGTAAATCATTCTAAGATTCCCTTTAACTAGAAATGTATGGGGAGGAAAACTATCAAAAGGCAAATTGTATCTTTGGTAGAGAGTTCAGCTTAAAGGAGATGCATATCAAATATTTATCTGAGTGTTCAGTTTCTCCCTTTCCTTTTAATTCCCATTACCCCAGAATGCCTTAAAATAACCCTTTCATGTTAACAGTTTTTGCTTAGAAGCAGAATAAAGTTATTCTCAGTTCCATAAGCTATATAAACAGATTTTGTTTCTAAAATGAGATGAATTGGCATATAATGATGATTCTATTTTACAAAAGTTTATCGTAGGTATCTATATACAAGAGTAAGTATGTGAGTGTCTTTTAATTCATTGAAACATTTCTAAATAGTTCAATAAGATGAAAGATTAAAAACCATGTTTGCACTTAAGTGTTTTATTTAATAGTTGGAAAATGAGACATCATTCAGATGTCTGGGATAAGGATTTAATTAAATCATTAATACTTCAATGGGTATCATTTATATGACCTATTATTCTTTAGAGAGAAAAGAATCCTGCATCCTTAATTATTACTGATAATCAGTGATATAAAGTAGAATATTCTAAGATATAATTTTTGGAATAATAATAAACTTTATGTATTTTTCATATGAAAATATACTTTATCCTATATTGGCACTTTTATAGCAAAAAGTAGGATATGTCAGATTCTTGAATTATAAATTAAAAATGTATCATCATTTTCTATACATGGTACAAAGCAGAAGTATTCTGAACCCCCAATGAGTTTTTAGTAATTTTAATAACAAAACTGTCATCTTGTGCCTTTATAAATTATTATCTTATAAGCAGAGTTTGCCTAATTTAATGACTTCAAAAGTTACTACAAATCCTTAGACTAATAATGTGTTGAGAATAATGACTAGAAAATAACATCACATAAAGGAAACAATTATCTTTACATTGAAGAAGGTGTGAGATAGACTTTTTAAAAAAAAAAAAAAACATCTCCACAATGGAATATTACTCAGCTATCAAAAAGAATGAAATCTTACCCTTTACATCGACCTGGATGGAACTGGAGGGTATTATGCTGAGTGAAATAAGTCAATCAGAGGATGACAATTATCATATGGTTTCGCTCATATTTAGAATGTAAGAAATAGTGCAGAGGATCATAGGAGGAGGGAGAGAAAACTGAATGGGAAGAAATCATAGAGGGAGACAAACTATGGCAGACTCTTAATTGTAGGAAACAAAGTTAGGGTTGCTGGAGGAGCGGCAGGTGGGGGGATGCAGTAACTGGGTGACGGCCATTAAGGAGGACAGGTGATGTAATGAGCACTGGGTGTTATATGCAACTGATGAATTACTGAACTCTACATCTGAAATTAATGATGTACTATATGTTGGCCAATTGAATTTAAATTGAAAAAAAGAAAAAATAATTAAATACATGAACCTAGTCAGAAGAATATTAAGAGTTAGGCTTGAGATTGAAAAACGTGTAAACATTTGAATTGAAAAGCGTAATACAAACTAATACCTTATTTAGATAATGTAAATCAAGGTAAGTTTACAAAGTTGAAGCTAGTTAAAGAGTGATGGGGCCCTGGAAAGTTTGAGTGTTGAAATATTCAGAGAAAAAGAACATAAATGCTCATGAAATAAAGACAAGTAGAAAGAAAAGAAAGGAGAGGAGTAAAAATGCCACAAAGCCGCAAATTTTATGTTTTCATTGAGTCTATGGAGTATGATAGTAAATTTCTATTCAGCTACAAACATATACAAATAGGTTTTGGGTAACCAAATATGTTAATTTTATAAAGGCTTTGACAAAGAATAAAAGGGAAGATGACTTATGAAAACAGACTATTGACACATAAGCAAACTAGGAATTAGGCAGTGAAGTAAAAGGAATGTGATAGTTATAAGTACTTGCTATGATAACATAAAATAAAAGGATGTGTTATTTGAAGTAGAAAAAGTTAAGGGAAGAGTTATCACTTAAAATATGTTTTTAATAAGTTTAAGAAAAATATCTGAGTCAAGTCAGAAAGTAATGTGTTTTAAAGAATGATTTTTAAATGTTTAACAATTTTCTCAATGCTGAAATAAGACTAATATGAAATGGGATCAATAAAAATAATGGATTAGATAGTTGTGATTTTATAGATTTTTTTTAAGATCAGCATTTTCATTGCAGTCTTAGTTCTGAACAACTGTTCTTATATTTCTGATGAAGTGTTTTGGGGCTTTTTTTTGCTTTTTTATATTCATCAAATTAATGCTATAACTCCGGGTTCAGCAAACTAAATCTCCTGGGCCAAATCCTGTTTCTCTTTTGTGGGCCACAAGCTAGGAATGATTTTTGCATTTTTAAATGATGGGGGTGACCAAAAGAATGTCATTTTACAGCACGTAAAAAGCACATGAAATTCAAATTTCAGTGTCCAAAAATAAAGTTTTATTGAAACACAGCCACATTCATTCATTTGCATATAATCTGTGGTTGCTTTTGTGCTACAAAAGTAAAGATGAGCAGTTACAGTAAAGACCATATGGCACGCAAAGTCAGAAATGTTTACTATCTGACTATTTACAGAAAAAGTTTGCTGAGACCTGTTGTAACAAGCTAGTGTATCAAAATGACAGTAACAGAGAAGTGATTACAATAGAGACTCTGTAAAATTATCTTCATTTTAGAGCTTGAGGAGAAGAAAGCTGCTGATTTTGGGGGGATGGTTTCAGATTATTCTGCCTGGAAGCTTATGTCTAAAAGAGTTAATACCCTGAAATCTTCTATCTTTACATTTTTGGTCATCTGTTTGCCATTGTTTTATCATATACACACACACACACACACACAAAGTAAACCCACCATGGGATTAACATTAAACCCTTCAAATATAGAACTGTCATATAGATAAAGTATAGATTATAAATTACTCTTTGTTGAGGAGCACCCCTACAGAGATTTAGGGTAAAAAGATAAGTTCCAATCTTGTTCTCTCAAACTCTTAAAAAATGTATTTTAAGAGTACTTTTGCTGCACACCACATTTTTCTGTTTATTGCTTCAATATATCTTATTAAAGATAAGACCACCTTTTGATTTCTCATACATAACTGCACCAAGAAATCATTCCGTCTACAGGAAATTTTGTACAGTTGGCAAAGACACCCTGACAGGATCAACCAATATGTCTTATCTTAACAGCACTTGAATATCTAGAAGGCATCTGCATTGAATCAGCCAACCCTGACTAAAGTAAGGAAGAACAGCAAATAAGCACTCAGTAGCTTTTAAATGAGTAAACATCAGTTTGTCTATATACTCTACTTTCTTGGGCAAATTTTAGAGTCTTTTGTAGATTATTTGAGCTTCCTAATAAGTCTTCCTTGTGTGATGTTTTGGCACTTGCCCATATTAATAATATGCATTTGTTTACTCTTTAACTTACAATAATTATGTATCATCCTGAGTATCTTGGTAGATGATGTATTATAAATATGACCAGACTACAGTAATGATGAAGATGACAGTAAATCAACTTTAGTATTATCTGTTTGGAAAACAGGCTAATTTTGCTACCTTTCACTTTGTTAGAATTTGCTTAACTTGCATGTTAATACAATTCTGAGATTTCACTTCTACTGAATAACAAAAATCTGTTTTTAGAACAAAAAAAAAACTCATCTAATACTTATAAAATCTCCTTTAGTAGCTAAGACATCACAGAAGTGGAATGACACACACTGTGAGATGTTTAATGCTTATTGAAAAATTGCCATTCTCAGAATTGACTTTAATACAAAAATAAGGTACTAATAAAAGATCTCCTTGGCAAGTAAATTTCCCTAATAACAGAAAATGGAGAAGTGATGAGGGAAAAAAGATAAGACTCAAACTGTTTTGAAAGATAAAGTTTTTCAGTTTTATGGATATACAGAGACAGAACAAATGTGCATAGCAAAGTTTTCTTAGAACTAACACCTTGCTGAAGAAAATTAGATGTGTATATAGTTGGAAAAAATTTTAATTTCTTATATGTATAGAATTTACCAAATTTTAGGAAATACCTCAAAGTAACCTATTAAATATCAGTGATAACATTTTATCACAGATCTTTGTGATAGTAAATATAAAGCCTTCTCAACATTATTTCACACAGTTCAGTTTTTTAAACATAGAAGAAAAATAGTTTGTATATTCATTTATTCATTAAACACTTACTGAGCACCTATAACAATTTGCTGTGCTCAGTGGTAGAAATACAACTGAACAAATCAGATAATAAGGGCATTTCTGATTCCTCCACTATGCCATCTTCTATATCTTCATTTCCCCCACCCTACCTTTGCATTTTGTAACTATATAAAGAATTTGTAACTAGAGAATGCATACTTAAAAACTTAACTCACCTGGTATTATTAACAACCTAATGAAAGAAGAGGCCAGAGAATTGAACATGGCAGTGTGACAGTCTATAAAGTAATAATAGGACAGAAAATTATCAATTCAAAGCATGAAGATTAAACATGTTTTTGAGTATAAAACAGCTATTTTTTAAAAAATCAGTAAAGCATTCTGATAAAAGATAGATTTGGACAAGAGTTTTGTGTTTCAATTTTGCCTTTTATGGTGTTTTTATTGATATATACATTAATGTATCATATATACATACATGTGCATATATGAGTATGTATATGTATGTGTATACACACACACACACAATATATGAAGATTCAGTAGCACTGTGAATGGAGGAATAGGAACAGGACATCAGAATCAGAACACTGAGCTGGTTTTGGTGCCCTCTTTAAAAAGCAAGATGGAGATGTATAGTAGAGCTCTCATCTTATAAATAACCTCACATGTAGTTTTCTAGTGTTCCTAAACCAATGAAGATCAGTGTAGTACTACAGGAGAAAAATGATTAGTGTTCTACTTTCTGATTAACCTTAATGAGCATCTCCTGGTATTCATACCAGATCTGATCAGAGGGAGTCATCTCTGTCATGGATGTTTTCTTTTTTTTTAAGCTAGGTATTTTTTTTTTTTTTTAATCACAAGGTTCTCCTCCAATACCTTGAACCTTGAGATTTCAAACTCAGGTGTCTGCTTATAAGGCTGTCTTGTTATCTGGCAAATGTGTTGGTGATGGAGCCATCTAATCTTCTGAGACCCTTACTATGTCTCATTTCCTCTTTAACAGTGTTTTCTTTTCCCCACTGCAAAACCAGGCTCGGCTTCCCTCGTGCTCATCTACCTATAGTGTATCTGAGGTATACTTTGCACGTGTTATCTTACATGGTCAACAACATGCTCGCCCTCACCGTTTTTCTTATTTTATTTTCCTTTTGCCTTAATTTATTTTGCCTTGCACTTTGCACTTGGCTGAAAGGGATAAGGGTACCAAAGGGGGAAAGTTAGCAGTTTTGGAAGGAGTTTTTTATGTTTTTATACTGTACTGTTTTCTGAGTAACTTTGGAGGGAGAGGGCAGTCACTGTATCATGTTGAAATGGTTGAAGTCTGAATAGCCACTTGATTGTTACCACCACTTTAATTCCATAAAAATTCCTTTGAGCCAGGTAATTTGTCATTAAATATTGGCTGAAGACAAAGATTCTGGTTTATAGGCCTGTATAGGTCTCTCTGGTAGCTGAAAATGTACAATGAATTAGTGATAATCTTGTCCCATTAACCATAGATACAGCATCCCAAATTGGCTATTAAATGGAAAGTTAATATTATTCCCCTGTTTTTATGTAAAAGGGAAGACTGATTTTTAGAAAACTGATTAGGTCACTTGGGAAAATAGTTTCTTAAGTGATACTCATATTTGTATAAGGTTCTTGTAGTCTGGAAGATTAATTTTATAATCACTCCTGAGATTCATGTTCTTTTGACAAACTATTTTATATGACATTTGACTATGTTTTTTGCCTTTTTAAGGGCCTAATTTCTTATTCTTACTGTGTAAAACCATAGCATATCTGTTTCTGTTTTTGTGAAACAGATTCATTGAAATATTAACAGATTTTGAATATACTTTAAATCTACTTTCCAAAGCAGGGGGGCACTGTTGAGTAACTAAGAGAAAAGAGTATTTATGCCTCAAAATATGGCTATAAATAAAAGTAATATCCTGTGAATTTTAAGATTCTAATTTTTTCCAGACAAAACATATTTCTACACATATTTAGTATCGTTAGCTTCATTCTGATTGCAGAAATATCTCAAAAATGTCATGGCACTATCTAAAGTACCAGCTAGTGTATGCAGAACCACAGACAGGATAACATCGTTTGACTTTAGAAGGAATAGCTTGATCAAACCACTGGCTTCACAAGGTTGAATGTATTGAATAAAGAGTTTTACAGCCATCTTCTTTAATTTTTTCCTTTGCAAGTTACAGCTGTTTTAGGTTTTTTTTCTCTTAAACTTGATTTTGTAGAGAATTAATTTCTTCTTGAAATACATATCTGTAGGGAAAAGAAAGTAATGAAAAGCAAATAAATGACTTGTGATATCAGCAGACTTTTGAGAGACAAGGTTAATATCATCTCATCACCACATTTTCCATAGGTCTTTTCTTAATTCACCGGAATTATGATTCCCAGTGTAAAAAATATATAACCCATTTCTTTCTGACACTTCATCCAGGCAATTCTCCATTTTCCATGAGAGTGTATGAGAAGTCTACCATTGGCATCATCTTCAATCACAGTCTGCAGCATCCATCAGGGTATTACTTTCTCTGTGACAGCATGTATGCAGGAGGGTTCTCAGGTTGGAATGTGGAACTGGCTTCTGGGGGGATGGGATTGTGAATGCTGTAGCATTTGCTCCATAGAACTCTGCTCTTTAATGAACTCTGGCTTTATCTGGATTTGTTACTTTCATTGTGACACTTTGGCTTTACTTATTTGTCATAAAATGTGTTTCTCTTTTTGTCATTTGTGGTAGGGTTTTTATATTCCCAATGACACATCTCTGTGGACTTCATAAGTGGTATTTATGTTTAATTTATGATGCCATAAAGACCAATAAGACCATGAAGAATGGCTTAGGGAATCTAATATTCATGATAACACTTCAGGCAGAATAACCTTCCATAATTTTTTCTACTTCATCTTAAATTGGTGAACAATTGTTTTGTAAAATTTTAGACTATGAGTCTTAATAATTAGAATTTCAATAAATGTCCTGATATTTCAATTTTTCATATGGAAGCCTCTTGATGGGATTGTTGGTTAACTGTATTTTTTATTTTATAGCATCAGTGGAGGTAGCCAAACATTCCATGACTCAATCTCTTCTTCCCTAACATTTATACCATCTTCACTGACCTTAGTACTAAAGGAATAATTCTTCGGTACCCAATGTAGCACACTGGCTTTATCAATTTCCTGTCACTATCTTCTGTGTCATTCATAAGACCGAAAAATAAGCCATGTCCAAAAATGAGTCTATCCATGAGTTATTCAAGAACAAGAATAAGATACAAAGCTTTAATGCAGGAAATACTACAAAGACCTTCCTCTTATTATTTATTATTCTTATTTTTCTTATATTTGGTCATTCAATAAGTATATATTGAATACCTACTATTTCTTCTTTAAATGTAATTATAATCTGCTGGCTGTGTCTTGACCGTTGGAACTGGCTTCACATTTAGAATGCATAGAATACCATGAATGTAATGAGGTCAATGTCACCTGACTTACCTGACTGATACTACTCAGCAAATATTACTCCATGTAGTTGATTGCCCCTTTGTAAAAATTACAATTCTTTTACTATATGACAAGCTCTGTGTTTGACATCTCATTGATCTTAATTTCAATTAGTCTTCACACAAGCTGTTTAGAGAAGATATTAGGGTCATCCTGATTTTATAAACCAGGAAACTATCTCAAAGAGGTTAGATATCTTGCCTTAAGTCATAAAGTTTCCAAATGAGTGTCAGAAAATTGTTTTTTTTTTTTCTTAAATACCATGCTTTCTGCTGTTCAGGAGTTATTAAAAGTCATCAGCTCTGCATGGCATGCAATAATAGCCTTGTATTTTCACAGTATATATTTACCTGGTTCAGGCTGATGATATAGTTTTTAGTCTTATCTTATGAGAGGATTTAGATGTACTTATAAGATACAAAGCTTTAATGCAGGAAATACTACAAAGACCTTCCTCTTGTAATGTATTATTCTTATTTTTCTTATATTTGGTCATTCAATAAGTATATATTGAATACCTACTATTTCTTCTTTAAATGTACTTACAATCTGCTGGCTGTTTCTTGACCGTTGGAACTGGCTTCACATTTAGAATGCATAGAATACCATGAATGTAATGAGGTCAATGTCACAGGTTCCACATGATTGTTCATCCCCTCAAATAAAAAAAAAGAAATCACCTTTCACATTCCCAACTAATCTCAGTTTTACTCCAGCATTGTTCCACCAGTGTTCATTTTTTAAGATCCTTTGAAAAAATTGCTTCAGAATTCACTTAGTTTAGACAAAAGCCAGAATTAGTATGATCCCCTTGTAGAGATAGTACTCTCTGACTTATTTGAAAAGCTAAATATACACTAGATATAAATCTTTTATGATGTGTCACAATAAAAAAAACATTGAAGACTTTAAAACCTTATCTTTAATGTCTTAGATTTCTCAGTAGCAAGGCTGATTTAGATAATTCAAAATTTTGAAGATAAATTGATTTTTACTATTGTGTGGACAGACACCAAGATTTGATTTAAATTTTTTTAAGGTTTTATTTATTTATTTATTTATTTATTTATTTATTTTGAGAGAGGGAGAACAAGCAGGGGGAAGGGGCAGAGGAAGAGGGAGAACCAGGCTCCCTACTGAGTGGACATCCTGTTGAAGGACTTTATCCCAGGACCCTGGGATCATGACCTGAGCCAAAGGCAGATGCTTAACTGACTGAGCCACCCAGGTGCCACAATTTTATTTTTATTTTAATGCTTTAAAACTTTTAGCTACCTAAAGAGACACTGGCATTTTTAAGTTGTAGCATGCAAAACAGTTGCCCTTTGAAGCCAGCACACTTTTAAAACACTAATTCTGATCTAAACAAACCGTGGCTGCCTGAAAGTTTGGGCCTTCTGCAAATGTAAACTTAGTTGAATTGCAGATAGCATATCTACATAGTCAAGGGTGGAGGGAAAGCCTGAAGGGAAGGAAGAAAACTGGATTTTAAATACTGCAACATTTCCTCCTTAAAAAGGGGGGGGGGCATTTTTGAACCATCAACAGGACTATAAACTTCTCCATTGGAAGAAACTAATAAAATAAAATAAAGATTCTACACTGTGAAATGATCACCTCAGATTTTTACTTCATAAAATCTCACTTAGAAAAACTATTAATAATCAATTTATTATTTATTTCAGTATAGTTTTCTGTGGTGTTCCACTCTTTCCTGTCACTCTTATGTTTACTATTTTCATTCTGTTTGTATATAATACTCGGGAATTTGGAGATAATGTGAAGAAATCTGTTAGAAATTAAATCTTTTAATACACTATAACTTCTCTTCACCAAAGTTTCATAACTCCTACCTCATTTTTGAATTTTTAAAAAGTAATCAGAGTGGAGAGAGGGGCAAGATGGCAGAGAAGTAGGAGACCCTGTTTCAACTGGTCCCCTTAAGTAAGCTAAATATCTACCACAACACTCTGAACACCCAGGAAATCAGCCTGAAATATAGGATTATATACTTCTGGATCTCTCCAGGGACAGAAGACATCAGTGGAAAGGTAAGCAGAGTGATATCAGAGGATAAACAGAAGGGGGAGGGAGCCACCAGAAGCAACCCATTAGAAAGTAATACCCCAATATGGAAGTGCCCTGTGGTTGGGGACCAGCATTAACTTGGTGTCTGGTTAAAAGCATTCAAAAAGAGCAAAAGATTTTAAGGTGCAACTGGTGGAATCGGATCACCAAGACACATGATACTGGCAAAAAAACAGACACACAGACCAGTGGAACAGAGTAGAGAGCCAAGATATGGACCCACAACTCTATGATCAAATAATCCTCGACAAGCAAAAAAAAAATATACAATGGAAAAAAGACAGTCTCTTCAATAAATCGTGCTGGGAAAATTGGACAGCTATGTATAGAAGAATGAAACTTGACCATTCTCTTACACCATATACAAAGATAAATGCAAAATGGATAAAAGACCTCAATGTGAGACAGGAATCTATCAAAATCTTAGATAAGAACATAGGTAGCAACCTCTTTCAAG